AAAGAATGATGCATTCATGACCCTGTCTCTTCACAAGGAACAACAGTAATGAACATACTCAAGAACCTGTCTCCTCACACGGAACACAAGTATTGAGTAGCACCATATCTTAGACTGAAAAAGAAGTGAAAAATCGAAAATATCCAAAGGAAAAGATCAAGGGAAGAGAAAATAGGAGAACTGTGTTGAGATTGAATTGTTCAGTTGTTTAAGAAGGGAAAAGAATCTGTAAAGTGATTGAGATGATAGAGCTTTGATGAGATTTCACACTTAGATAGAAAATAAGGAGTTAGCAGTAGAAATTTCGGATTTCTTGAAGGGATTTGAACTGGACTTAAGAAATTTGCTAAGCTTGTGATGATTAGGCTGAAATTTGATCTTGTGTTGACTCTGTGGTATGTGGATTCGAAAGTTCTAACTAATGTGGTGTTCCTGATGATTGACTGATTGTTTCTTGTTTTCAAACCTCGACCCTGTTCTCTGTTTGATGTTTGCTTGAGGGCAAGCAAAAGCTAAGTCTGGGGGAGTTGATATATCATGGTTTTTATGGTTTTTAACCATGATATAAGTGAGTCTTTTGGGTCTTTTTAGAGTCCTAGAAGAGTCTTTGCAGGTTATAGCATGTCTGGAGCATAATTGGAGATATTGAAGCTTTTTGGAGCATTGCAAGTTGAAGCCACGAAGTGTCCAGCTCGGAGAAGAAAGTATGCATTTGGGTGACACTCGTCACCACTTATGGTGACGCTCGTCACCCATAAAGGAAGGGGTCGTGGCTTGGTTTCATAAAGAAGGAGCATTATTTACAGTTTTGGCCCAGAAGTTCCAGTATTTGTAAAAAGGCCCCAAATCGTGTTTTAGCTTGTATATTAGGTTTTTCAGCCATTCTTTTGGCAGATATCTTGTATCTCATTCTTTTTTAGAGCTTTAGAGAGAGATTTGTAGAAGAGCTTTTGGAGAGACAAATCAGACTCCTTCAGAGCAGATTTTGAACTCCTTTATTTCTATTACTTATTTTTTTTATGCAATCTATTCTTTTCATGATGTTTGTTTCAATCACCATGTCTGAGTAGTTTGTTAGTTAAGTTAGGGTTTTTCAAAGGTTGAAGAAGAGTTTGTAGAATTGCTAAAAACTTATAGGAAATTCATTGGTTCGTCATCTGTGTTTGCATTCATATCGATTTCTTAGACACATCATCTGGATTTCGAAACCCTAGGTTTTTGATAGATGTGAGAGCATTATTAATCACCTGAACTAGTATTAGATGAGCAAAACACCTATTTGCAAAGAGATTTGGCTTAGGAGTTTTGTGAACAATTGAACCTGATCATTACAACATGTTTGGGTTGTTAGGGTTTGCAAAAAGATTTGAAACTCTGTGATTTAGACATAGTTAACTTCTGCAATGAGAATTGATTAGTTATACCTTTCGATTCATGTTCAAGACGGTTCTTAATCATTCTTGATTTCATGCATTCTACATTCTTGGATTCAACCTGCGAATTGTCTGACTTAACGCCTTTAGCCCTCTGAACTTTAAGAACAAGAATAAAACGCCCACTTGCATTTATTTTACTGTTTCGCATTACATTCATTACTTTTTGCTTAGCTTAATCCGAACCTGAACTCTTTAGTGTAGTTTACTTACTCCCTTGGGATTCGATAACCCCTTGTACTACAACTGCTTTTGCTGTGCACTTGCAGTAGTTTTATTTGGGTAAAATCTGAGTCCTATCAATGTCCCATTCGGTGATGCTCATCTTGCGTAGCGTGTCCATAAAGATGAGATCGACCGAGCTTCCTGTGTCGATCAATATCTTCGAGACATCGTCTTCTCCGAGCCAAAGTGAGATGACGAGTGGATCGTTATGCGGGCAGTCAATGTTCTGGGCGTCTTGCTCTGTAAACGTGATCGGAAGATCGTCTTTAAATAGTGGTGGGGCATCCTTCGGGGGATTAGCGGCCTTTCGCTCGTGCCGTTTGATCGAATTAATGGAGTCGGTGCATGAGAGGAGTCCTCCTATAATCATGTTGATCCATCGTCGAGGCGAAGCTGGGGGTGTGTGGTCGTCTTAACGGTCACGTTTTGTTTCATTCCCTTCACATTTGGAGGATGGACGATCAGCATCGGATCTTCTATCTCGATCGCTCTCAGGTCGCCTGTCCTGATCATCATCAGATTGTCACGTTAGATTCCGGGGCTCCGGTATGGTGCACTCACCAGATTCCCACGCCTTCCGCAAGAGGGCCGGGAGAGTACGACAATCAACAGTGTGATGGCCGTGCGCCTTGTGATATTTGCCCCATGGCTTCTTGCTATATGGGTCTTTGGCGCTCAGACGATCCCAAGTGTTCCACTTCATCTGTCGTCCAATGGCATTGATACTCTTGCGGCTCTTGTCGTCCCTGTCGTAGTGCTGTCGAGGTTCCTCGTGACTATCCTGATTCGAAGATCGAGGTTTCTTATCGCTCGAAGATTTTTGATTGGCCAGCTTGGCTTTGGCCTTGGCTGCCCTATCTTCTTCAAGTCTGATATAACCGGTCGCTTTATGCAAGGTCGTTTTCTAGGGTTTTGGTCTTCCTGGTTTTCAATCTCTTGCAGTACGATTGATCGTCTCTCAAGTTCCTGATGAGGATGTTGAGGGATAGCTCGTCCGACAAGCTGCATTGGGAAACGATAGATCGAAACCGATCGATGAAGTCGCGCAACGGTTCCGTGTCGCCCTGGACGCACGCCCATAGATCGAACGCTGTAGACTCCGTGTCGATGTAGATCGAATAATGTTTAAGGAACCGACCTGTGAGTTCCTTGTTGCTGTCGATGGAATTTGGAGGAAGCTGTGAGAACCAGGTGAGAGTGCTTCGGGAGAGTGTCTCTATAAAATACTGACAAAGGCATGCGTCCCGCTCTTCGTCCGTGAAGCGAGCTCGCCCCATGACTGCGTTGAACGCGGCCAGGTATCGCTTTGGGTCTGTCGTGCCGGTGTAACTTGGAGGTAGCTTCATCCGGCCTATGTTTTTGAGAGGAGCCTTGGTGATGGCCGACATGAACGAGGTCTGCTGCGTTTGTTGGGGGATTTTGTCCAACTCTGGTGCCGAGGTCGTTGCCTTATGGATCTTGCTGTTAATAACGTCAAGGCGTTGATGGAGAAGATCGAGTTCAGAGGCAGTCGTCAGATCGGCACCTGTGGTATTTCGGGACGAGCGAGCGTTGAAGCCTTCCACCTGTGCTCTCCGTAGGTCGTCTGTCGGTGTGGTGCCGAACAGGTTGTTAACCAGTCTTGTCGTATCTGCGTTGCGGATCGGCTGACGTGGGGGCGTGGTCAGATCGGCCTTCTCTTAAGTATGAACCCTAACGTTGAGAAGCCGATCTAGGTCTTCTCGGTAGGCGATTTGTTCGGCGCGGAGCGATTCGAATCGAGCATCCATGCCCTGTTGTAGCTGTGCCGCGACCGATCTGATGATGCTGGCCATGTCAATGGGAGGCGGCTGAGGCAGGTCGGTCGTGTTTGTTCCCCCAGTTTGGCCGACCTGATCTGCCTCGCAGGTGTTCTGTGCGGCAGCCGCGTCGTCTTGCAGATCGGTCTGGTTGACCACTAGGAGTCCGGTGACCGGGTCTATGATCGCCTCCTTGGTGTTTCTGGTGGGATCGGCAGCTTTCCCTGTAGGATTGGTGGGTCCTCCGGTGAGGTCGGTGGTACCAGGGTTGATAGGAGTTGCAACCATCTTCAAGCTCCGTTTGTTTTAAAGATTAGTCTTTTATTCCCTACAGACGGCGCCAACTGTAAAAACTCAAGTTCGACTTTTAGAAGAGAACTAGGGTTTGTGGGTTTAAAGAGAGATCTTTATTGAATTAAGCCGGAGCTTGAGAGATACAAGGTGGTTTAGGTCGTCGGAATAAGAACGCCGACCTAAACTTTTATGGAAATAAGATCGAGAACTAGAACAATGAGATTTTGCTTAGTTTGCCATAGGTCTCGAGAGAGTGTTTTTGGATGGATCTGAGAAGTCGAGGATTTCCCGTATTTATAGCCGATCAGGTCGGTCTTTAATGCATGTTCGGAATAGAAAAGTCTTCTTGCCGATAAGACTGAACTTCTGTTTTTCCCGGGTTCGATTGATAAATTGAAGATTTCCATTTATTTGGCCGACCTGAGCCAAGTAAGATGGACCGACCAGAATTCATATCGGACTGTTAGAGATGGTACCAATCTCATCTCTAACACTCTCTTAATAAATCTTACAATCTCTATTCGCGCCCTCCATCCTTAAAAGAGAAATAGAATCAGAAAATAAGGAGAAGAAGAAGAAAAAGGAAAAGAGAAGGAGAATATGAGAAGGGAAATTAGAGAAGAAGAAGAACGAGATTCAGAGGAATAGGAAAGAAGAATCGCGGACAAGAGAAGAAGCATGAGAAGGAATAGGAGAAGAAGCATAATATAAAAAAAAAAAAAAGGAGGTGACGAAGAATGATTAATCGAAGGAGAAGAGATGGATAATTGAAAAAAGAGGCGGATGTTTTAAGGAAAGTAGGTTTGTTGTTTATTTTTTAATAAAATAATAAAAATAAAAATATCAAATATTTTGTGGTTTATTTCGAGTAATTCGAGTAACCGATCGGTTTTCGAGTTTTACCCGAACTGAACTAAAACCCGATCCAAAATTATTTAAAACTCAATCGGGTTATTGGTAAAACCCGAAATCGAACCAGATTTTTTGGGTCGGATTGAGTTGGATCCAACGGGTCCGGATCGGATGCCCAGGACTACTAGTTACCACCAACTATTGCAGTTCATTTAAGTGTGTTTGAAACATGTTTGTAATAATTTTGTGAGTTGTGTCCTCGTTTGGGTGTTATAATACGTTATAAACGTCTTTGGTGGTATTTGATTATATATTTTGGGTTGAAAATTCTGAAACTTCTATCCTACTCCAATAATCTCAAATCTAAAACAAATATACTCTGGTATATATTATAAGTCGAACATATAGAAATTTAAAATGATAGCAACAAAAAGGTAGTGTATATATAATTATTATATATAAAGTTATAATTATAAACACATGACTGTTCTACGCAAATTCGAAAAGAATAAAACACTTTCTCTTCAAGAAGCCACAAAGAATAACAAAGTTAAAGCACTTACATTGTTGTTATACATTGAAGAAAGAGCATATTGCAATAATTTTTCAATTTTCAAGCCACCATTGCTCTCTTCCCTTTGTTGCTTTTGGTACTATCTTTCTTCCTTCTGGAAATGCCGGTAATGGGATGACCCAATGGACCTGACCAGGTCTGGACTTGTGTTGGTGGTTCATCTTTTGAGAAATTGAAGGATGTGGAAGTGAATGATGAAACCATGTCTGGTGGGACGAATGTTGGGTCTATGTGCTGTGAGGCTCCTAATGGTAGTCCCATTGCTCCACCATCTTGGTGTGGCGGTGGAAACTTCTCGCTCTTGCTCTTTGCGTTTGCGTGTGTGATTAATCTCCTCCTCTGTTAGAGCCAAAGATAATAATGCTAAAGATGTTAAGCATCACTGTGTATCGGTCTTTTTGTGGGTATGTCGATATGCAAGAAGCAGAACATCGTAAGCATCGGGGGAATAAAATAATTAATCTGCTCACTTTCAAACATAGAGATCATCCTATATACACAAGTTTATACGGCAAAACCAATCTATAACGACAATACTCAAGCAACCTGATTCGAGTTACAGGAGTAAATGTAGAAAAGAAGAGGGAGTATTGAAAAGGAAATAGTTGAGAGGGACATACATCAAGATTTGTCTGAAGTTCTGCATTAGCTTCTGGGGCTGGAAGTGCTCGATTCGAACGATCTCTGTGCCGGGTTTTCCTTGCACCATCCCCTTGGTTTTTATTAGCAGCTCTTTGTCTGCAAAGAAGAAAAGGTGTTTGTGCCTGCGTTCTGACAAATACAGCATAAAATAGCTACAAGCAATGGTGGACACAACAATATCTGAATTTCCAAAGTAAATGTGTTTCACTCCACTCTTATCTGGATGTTGACAACATATATGCAGCCTAACTCAGTATATGCTATGGTAGGAAAAACGTTAGTGACCTTACTTTTCAGTATGTTCGTTAAGATTTTAGTTATGTTCAGTATATACCATTTGAACCTTTTGCATCCTCAGCAATTGAAAACCTCATGATAAGATTCATATATGCTGAACACAAATTAAAGGCTATCAATAGACAGCTAAGCAATAAATAAAATGTTACTAACCTCCGAGTTTCTTCATCTCGTCGCTTTGCATCAATTTCTTTACTTGGAGGATACTTTGGCAGATCAGCAGGTTCACAAGCAAACGGTTCGCTTGTAAAGAACTACACAGGGAAATTAGCAGAGAAACCAATTCAAACCTGTTCAGCATTATCAGACCATTTCATGTAATGAAGCAGCAGAATCAAAACCTAAGAACTTACTTCACTGTTTAAAGCAGCAGTTGCAGTTTTGCGATCTTCTGGTTCGATTGAGAGAAGGGCATCAATAAGCGGAAGAGAAGATGATGGAAAGTCTTTAAATGTCTCTTTGATACATCTTTTGTACGGTTCGCGAGGTTTGTATATTGCTCCGTGTGTGAATTTTCCTTTTTTCCAGTAATCTTCCGATGGTGAACCACAAAGCTTATAAATCTTATGGAGCTGCTCCACCTAAATAAAGGGCAGAACAAACTTCAATATACAAATATGGAACGAGAAAAATAGGACGATGATTCAACAAGATACCTCCGTTCGACCAGGCATAATAGGTCTTGCCGCTAATAGCTCAGCTAAGATACAGCCTGCGCTCCAAAGATCAATGCCAACACCATAATCAGTAGCTCCAAGAAGAAGCTCTGGAGCTCGATACCATAATGTAACCACTCTGCTTGTCATCGGCCGCTTGTGATTAGGATCAAAAATCGTTGCCAGTCCAAAATCAGCGATTTTGAGTACTCCACCATCATCAATAAGAAGATTGGAGCCTTTGATGTCGCGATGAAGCACGCCACGACTATGACAATGCTCCATACCAGATAGCAATTGACGCATCAAACATTTAACCTGCAATATGAAAAGAGTAATCTGATCTTAGCAAGAGGCCTATATTGCGTTATAAATTTTGAGTGCGAGATAGTGTACCTCTGGTTCTGAGAACTTAACAACAGGGCTTGAAGCAAGACCAGCCAAATCATGATCCATGTATTGAAATACAAGGTATAAGCTACAAGACATCCTCGATGTAACTAAACCTTCCAGCTTCACAACGTTAGGATGATCGAGTCTCCGCAATACGAGAATCTCTCTAGCCATAAACTTCACACTTTCTGGCTCCAAGTTGTCGAAACGAACCTTTTTAAGAGCTACGATTTTTCCGGTCAACATATCCTTGGCTTTGTATACATTACTGTATGTCCCTTGTCCAATCTACCAAAAGGTAAAAAAAAAGAATCCGAATGAAAAATTTCAAAAACAGCAAAAAACACAACTTTACTAGTAGAAAAGCAAAGAACACAACCAAACTATAAAACTCGCAATTTTAATCTACCAAAGAGGAAAATGTATCCAAATGAGAAATTCCCGGAACATCAAAAAAAAAAAAAAACTTTAGTAGCAGAAAGCAAAGAACACAACCCAACTATAAAACCCACAAGTTCAATCTATCAATCACCTTATTAATTTTCTCAAAAGCGTCAGCTTAAGTATCCAAATGTGAAATATCCAAAACACCAAAATCAAAACTTTAGTAAACGCAAAGAACACAACCAAACAACAAAACCCATAACTTCAACCTATCAATCACCTTATCGATTTTCTCAAAAGTGTCGGCTTTTCTTGGAATCCAACCATTAAGGGCTTCACCACAAGCATCTGAAAGCCAAGAAGGCCAACCCGCAGCGACCTGTTCACCACGCCAATGCTTTGACGGATTACTTAACCGTGGATTAGGCTTTGACCTTCTCCGATCTCCTTTCAATTTCCACTCTTTCTCAGTGTTTTCTTCCTTTTGAATCTCCTCACTCTTCTTCTCTACATCCACAATAGCACCATTGCTTTTACTAACTTTCACAGTTTCTCCTGCTGCGTTAGTTTTGGAGCTCTTTGCTACTTTAGATTCAGTTGTTGCTGTTGTTGCAGTTGTCCCAGACGATGCCTCTCGGCCAAATACACAACCCATTTTATCAATTTAAGCTTCATCTCTCACCATATTCAACTGCGAAACCTAGAAATTAGAATGTATAGTAAACCATTCAAATCTATGTAAGATACAATCAGAAGCTTTAAAAACAGAAAACGAAGTTGAGTAAATTCGATCGAAGGTCAAATCGAGGAAAACCCCTAACCCTAATCAATGATTCCGAACTCCATGGAAGCTCAAAAGTTGCGCTGAGAAAAGAAAAAAAATAGGTACGAGTTGAAATAAGAAACCTAGTTGCAGAATCTGATGGAAGGTTCACACCAGTAGAGATCGAATCTTCGGAGGTTGAAACTGTGCTTGAGAGTGTGAAAGAGAGGACGAGGTAGAGGGTGAACGAGAAGAGAGAAGTAGGCGAGCGTTTTTTTGCCCTCACCGATTTTGTTTTTTTAGACAATTCTGAATTAGTTTCTAATCTTTTCTTGTAAAAATGAACATGATACGACGAAAAAGGAACGCAGATCTCTTCAAGGGTCAACCCAGATAAAAACAAAAGGAAATGAAGTAAAATGGTCCAAAAAATAGGTAGACTGTAATAGAGTGAGAGGCAAGTGCCACAAATGATGGGAAAAAAAAATCAATCATGCCACAAATTAATCTTAATGTCACTTTTAATATGATAATTTTACGAAGCTTTTGGTTGAAATGCCATAATTTTTTTAAAAATGATCTTTTATGATCTAATATCATTTATTCATTTAAATCTAGGGAGAATTACTCAAAATAAACTAAAAATTAGATTTTTCAAGAAGTCTAAAGTAAACAAAAAACGTCTACCACAATTATAATTTTATCTCTAGGAAGTCTACATAAGAAGTCTACTATTTTAGACTTTTACAGAAATTACTTTTGTAAACCATCAAAGAAATCTATATAAGTAGACTTCTAATTAGCTTTAAAAAGTTAATTAGAAAATTAAAATAAATAAATTTTAAAAAATTGGTAAACATAAATAAAACATATATTTGACATGTATAGAAAACAAAGTTTCATACAAATGAATCAATTTAAATGTAGAAAGAAAAATTAATTAGAAAATAGCACAACCCCTTAGAAGTTTACTATAGAAGTCTACTTGATAACTAAATCTTAAAATTTATTTATTAAAATTATAAAAAATATTATGATGCAAAAATTATAAACATAATCAAAACATAGACAATTGGCATCTATATTAAATAAAATTTCATGAAAATAAATCAATTTATAAGTTTCATAAGTATAAGGTTGAAAAGGGTTATGGTTTGAAGTTCAAAAGGATTAGGGTTTGAGATGTAAAGTTTAGGGTATTGTTAGGGTAAACCTAAATTCTATATGAATCATAGTTTATGGTTTGGTTAACGATTTATATTCCATATCATTGTTATTTGAACTTTAACATGTGAAAATGGTAAGAAAATTAATGTTTTGAAACAAGTTTAGATCAAAAATATTTGATTTAGGCTTTATGGTAAATAAATTTATGCAGTAGACTTCTCCAGTAGACTTTAAAAAAACGTAGCTGGAAATCAAAATTATTTAACAAATTGGGCGGGAATCGAAATCAAAAAAATATAGTGAAGTAGACTTTTCGCGTACACTTCTCTAGTAGATTTCTTAAGAAGTCTACTTAACCGAAAATTTTCATACATATATAAGGAGATTAACCTAATTGTGTTAAAAAAAAAGTTTTTCTCTCCCTCTAAAAAACGCCTCTCTCTCCTCTACCTCCTCTCTGGCCATGAATCTCTTCTCCTTCCTCTCTTGCCATCAATCTCATCTCCATCCTCCATCCTCCATCCTCTCTATCTCGATTATGGTGATGGTAAGCAAATATGAGGTTTTGTGTTTTTTGTTGTTGTTTGTTTTGTGTTCATATTGTAAATTTGGGTTTATTATTACATATTTGAGCTTATTGTTGTAGATCTGTGTTTATTTTTGCAATGTGCGTTTATTGTTGTATAAATTTTGTAGAATTTGTTGCAGATCTGATTTTTTTTACTGCAGATATGATTTTTTTTATTGCAGCTCTGAATTTTTTTTTTTGTTGCAGATCTGAATTTTGTTTATTTTGTTGCAGATCTGAATTTTGTCTATTTTGTTACAGATCTAGAATTTTTTTTTATTGCATAGCTGATTTTTTTTTTGGCTGCAGATATGATGTTTGTAAATATAGCAGCTTTTGTTGAAATCTGAATTTCAACATTTTGTTTTTCTTATTGTGCAGATTTGAGCTTATTTATTTCTTTTTTGGTTTTGTTGGAAGCAGACTTCAGCCGCAGACTTCTCGAGTAAACTTCTCGAGCAGACTTCTCGAGCAAACTTCAGTCACATACATCTATTTTAGACATTTTGTTTTTATATGCCAATTTTAAGATTTATAAAAAAGGACCCTTAAATGTTTGTTTGTTTAGAAGGTGTACTTTATATGTAATGTTAGATTGCACTGAATGTTATTTATCATATTCTTAAATTATATGTGTTTATCATATTCAGATTTCATATGCAGACTTCTTTGTCTAACTTTATATGTAGACTTCTCGATTAGACTACTCTAGTAGACTTCACAGATATACTTATATTACATAACATATGGTCATCACCAAACTTCTTCCTTGACATCTTACTTAGTCATCACCATCTTTGAACCTCTAATAACACAAGAAAATTAATTCAATTTTAACTATACAAAAAACATGTAAAACTCATAACAAAAAAAATATGTAAAACTACTTATAAATGCTACAACTAGTCTTTCTTCACCCATTCTCTATAAACAGTGGGTATGTGAACCATTCTTTGTAAGGAAACAAAATTCAAACCACATTAGAAACCATTGTCAAAAAAGTAGACTGAAAACAAAGTCTACTATGTAGACTTCAAATGAAGTCTGCACACTATTAAGCTAAATACCAAATAAAAGAAGAAAATTAATTAAAGCTAAACTGTAAAAAAAAAAAAAAATTCAAACTCATACATAAACAAGAACAATAATCTCAAACACTTAAGAGTCAAATAATAAATTTTATTTGTTACAAATATCTGATCATTTAAATTTATAACAAATTAATGTCGCACACTGCAAACGAAGTCTACTATGTAGACTTCAAATGAAGTCTACGGGTTAATAAGCTAAATACCAAATAGAACAAGAAAACTAATTAAAACTAAACTATAACAAACAAACATATCAAACTCCTACATAAGTAAGAACAATAAATAACACACACTTAATAGTCAAATAATAAATTTTATTTGTTACAAATATCTGATCAATTAATTTTATAAAAAACATTAATGTCGCAGACTGCAAACGAAGTCTACGAACTAATAAGCTAAATACCAGATAAAATAAGAAACTTGATTTCATCAAATATATATAATAGCCCTGTTCGTTTGGCAGCCGCAAGCGGTAGCGGCAATGGCAGCGGGAGAGCAGCGGTGGCAGCAGCGGCAACATTACCGCAGCTTGATGTTCGTTTGGCAGCTGCAGCCGCAACAAAATTATTTTTTTTTGTTTGGCAGCCGCAGCCGCAGGACGCAGCCGCATGATGCATAATGTTGTTTGTTTTGCAGACTCTGCGACAAAATTTTCATATAATTCATATTTTATTTTTATAAATTTGTATAATTAGATTTTAATCAATAAAATGTAATTTATATATATTTATATCCATAAGAAATATCATATTTAGTTAGTAATAATTTTTAAGTTAAATATATAACAATAACAACTTAAAACAACTTATTTTGTGATAAATCATAGAATAAACTAAAATTAAAGTAATAAATTAAAAAATTTAACTGAAATAAAATAAAAAGTACAACACCAAGTTATAAATAACCAAAGTTATATAAAAAAAAAATCAAAGACATTATCTCAACTAATTAATAAAAGGTCATAAACAAAATTTTAAACAAAAACTTAATAAGGTAAACGACCTCTATTACATTCATTTGTAATATTATAACACAAAACTTCCAACGCTCTATCACCGGTCGGTTTATATATAATATGTCCATCATGACATTCATCACTATCAGCTTCTTCTTCTCCTCCTTCTCCTTCTCCTTCTCCTTCTCCTTCTCCTTCTCCTTCTCCTTCTCCTTCTCCTTCTTCTCCTTCTTCTTCTTCTCTTTCTCCTTCTCCTTCTCCTTCTCCTTCTCTTTATGTGCTTTGCCAATGTACAAAATCATGGTCTTCCCGATGTGAATCACGTATGAAATTGTGTAGTGCCATTGTCGCTGTTACAAGCTTAATCCACTTGGTCAGACCATACTTTGGATGCTTGCGATCTAAAATCCTCCATTTTGCTTTCCATACTCCAAATATCCTCTCAATCACTGATCGCAAACCTGAATGCTTTCGGTTAAACAACTCTCGTGCATTTACTGGTGGTCCTCCTCTAGCAAATTGTCCAAGATGATATCGCATCCTACGATGCGGACCAAGATATCCTGTCCTAGTGGGATAACTGGAGTAAACTAGGTAGTACTTTCCACTAGGCGGATGTGGGAAAAATGGCTCATTCCTCGCACAATGAGTCAAGACTTTTTTATCATGTGCTCTACCAGGAACACCGACATATGCATATATGAACATCATATCGAAGTTACATATAGCAAGGACATTCATTGTGGGTTCATGCTTTCTACCTTTATAAGCTTCTGCGGTTTGCCTTGGAGGGCGAACTTGGATATGAGTTCCATCAAGTGCTCCAATGCAATCTTTTTAAAAAAGCATATATTTATCATCATTCCTCAAAATAGGGTTTACTCTTGTAAACTCACCTTCTTGTGGTTTTAGCGTATCCGCTGCAAACTTGAGGAGAACACTCAAAACCTCATCAAGCTTCCTTTTCACAGTATCCAGTGACCGTTGGTACCTGTCGGCTATATCCCACATAGTCTTGTCCTGACCAACCACCTCAAGAAACATCGCAACAGATTCCTCAATATAGACATTTTCTGACTCTTCTAATCCATATCGCCTAGTTATCATCTTACATAAAGCTCCAAATATTCTTTGATTCATTCGAAGAATGTCATAACACTGATGATCTGATCCATTCATAAGTTGCTGAACATGACGCCAACCTGCTCTTCAATCTGTTCTATGACTCAATCTCTCAGTAGCAAGTGAATCTAGCAAACCAAGTTCATCATCATCATCATCATCACCCAAAATTCATCTTCTAACCATCTGCAAACACAAGATAATCTATCATTATTTTCGGATTCAAACTCAAGATATTCATCATCAAAGCTCATCAAAAACACATTTAACAAAACATCATCATCATTATTTCAACTTAACATTTAACAAAACATCATCATCATTATTTTCAACTAACGGTTCAAACATAAACATAAGTAATCAATCACCAAAATAAAAGACAAGTTTAAGAGAAACATTCAAGCAAAAACAATTTCAATCATCAAGTTTTGTTCCAGTCCTAAGCTCCAAAAACCTAATCTTATCTTCAGACTTAGGAAACGCTATAAACCCTCTCC